CGTAATATCTAGACACATTAATTATCTACGCTTCATGCTGTAATCATAGTTTTCTTTATTATAACAATGTTGATAACGGTATTCCTTACCTAACGTCTTTGAACACAACCGTTATGAAGGAGGTTAATGATATTTTCTATTGTATTAAACATTATGAACAGACATTATTATTAAACGTTGTAATAAATTTTTGGTAGTACTTTTGGTAAATACATTGATTCCTAATGCCATGCATCATTAGTGAAAGTCCATTATATAAAGGAAAACACAAAAAATTGCGTATTGAAGTGGCAACATAGACCTTGTCACATGGCCCCAAATTAATATCTAAACAAGGCATGCATAAAGGAAGGTGGTGCATTAATTCAAAGACATAATTTCTTGCTTTTGGAGCATAATTAAGGACGCAGGCCCATGTTGAATTTTTCTTCACGTGAAGTTAAATTATACCAATATTAGTGAAAAGCATGCATATTGAGCTGATTTCACATTCATACGAGATCCTAATTCACACTAAATATATGTCAATTGTCATGGCTTCCTCACAATTAAGTCAGTCGATAAAAGGCTTAATGAGAAATGGCCCATTTGAATTTGAAGCCCAAAATGGACACCGTCCAGAGTGGGTAGTAGATGTTCATCACTTTTAGAAAGATGAATTTTACATACACCTCCATTCTTGAAAATTTAATTTTCGCATCAAAATAATAACGAGACGTCAAATGTGGTACATATAAGTCTAATCTACACGAGTTCAAGTAGAGTGAGGGAGAACCACAATGGGTTGGCACAGCAGTTATCTTAGGGTCCGTTTAGTTCGTTGATTTCAGTTTATAATTTGAGTTGAGATATAATTTTACGTGAGAGTTTTTTATTATAGTAAAAAAAATTAAATGTAACTGTTTTTGAGAACTTTTTACTGTAATAAAATTTAAATTCTAAACTTGAATATGTAAAGTGAACGAAGAAGCCTAGTATCTTTCCTTCTTTTCCTGGCAGGATGTTCCCTAATTTGAATCTTGGCAGCCCAATATAGAAAGTCTTGCCCAATTAACACTCAACAGGGTTGCACGCTGTTGGACTTATGATGGTTTACTTCAAATAAGACTCATCCTTCAAATAGAATTGAGAAAATCAGTAAACTCACTTTTTTAAATGTATTGTTATAAGATTTTTATTCTCTTAATTAATATAGTTATTTGACTAAACCGTATTATTAATGTAAAGAGTAAAAATTTAAGATCAATTATAAAAAGATATTTGTCTATTTTTTCTTATAGAATAGGGTCATATCCTTTTTATTCCGTAAGTGGGGGTCCTGGAATTTCTTCTTTATATATAAAGGGGTGGCAATTCGGGTTGGTGGGTCGTGTTCATGTCGTGTTGACCTACTTAGTTGACACGAATAGACCTGACACAAACACGACCCATTTAATAATCGTGTCAAAATATAAAACCCAAACACGACCTGTATATTGGCGGGTTGACACGATACGACACGAATAACCCGTTTATTAAACAGGTCATAAACGTGTCATGTCAACCCGTTGATTACCTGTCAATCCGTTTATAAAATGGGTGATAAATGGGTCGTGTTAACCTATTTCTGAACCTACTTTTGATCCTGTTTATAAAATAGGTGTAAATGGGTCGTGTTAACCTATTTCTGAACCTATTTTTGATCCTGTTTATAAAATGGGTAATAAACGGGTTGTGTATTCGTGTTACCTAAATATGACATGTTTAATAAACAGGTTATGACGGATCAATTGCGGGTTAACCTGAAAATGACACGTTATTTAATCGTGTTTTATGGATTCGACCTGATTTTGACCTGGACATATTTATGATAAACCCAAACCCGTTAATTTCGTGCGGGTTTCGAGTCGTGTCATCGTGTCACTACCCAGATTGCCAGTTCTTATATATGACAAGGACGGTGAGTGAGATGGCATTAATATATATATATATATATTATTAGCAAAAAACAATAGAGTTAAACTTTAAAGGACCGCCCATAGTAAGGGAGTATAAAGATAAACGTTTTCTTAAATATTATGAGATTTCAATCCACATATAGTTCTCCCTTTATATATCAAATTGGCAGGGGATATAATTTTAAGAGAAGGATACAAAATAAAAGAGAAAAATTTGGAGAGCATATTTTCTAATTGGAAAAGAAAACAAATTCTCCTCAAGGTGTGTTTGGTTGGGTGGAAAAGAATAAAATAGATTAGAATGAAATTCTAGTTTGATGTTTGGTTAGATTTATAAAAAAAGAATGATCATTCAACAGGAATGACCATTCACCCATTTTGAGTGAATCATCATTCCTTCCTCATATGAGAGGAATGGTCATTCTAAGTTTTTTTTTTTTTTTTTCATAATTACCCTTCAATATTATAATATAATTAAAATATATTATATAGTAGTTATATAATATAATATAATATAATATAATATATATATCAAGCCAAATCAGCAACACTTGCACCAAAATATAAATGATAACAAGATAAACTTTCCGTGCAGCAA